TCATTCTTGATCATTCCTTATATCCCAACAGTTGTCATTTCCGCATGGGGAACTCTCGGTGTTTGAATCGTCAATTTGGGCGTGTTATGCCCCCCAATCTTTTTGCATAATTACTGGTTTTTAAGTGCTTTCAATTTGATGTATCAAGTTTGCACTTGATTACCAGTGATCTCATTATTTGATTAACACGCACAAGTTAGGTTTCCCTTTTTATTCTTATTTATTATTTACAAGGAAGACATATTATCTATATGAGATGCAAAATAGAGTGCAAAGATGATTGAGAAATTCAACAAATATCATTCTTATCGATTTGTTTGTTTAGAGAACATTCTTTGTACAAGATCTTTCGGTGCACTTTGATGATGTTGTTGCAAGCTACAGAAACTCACGCTTGAATGATGTCCCTATAGACATGCTTGCTCGTTTGTTGATTTGCAATTAGTCTTCGTTTCTTCTCAGATTCTCTTCTTGCTATTCCCATTAGAAATAACTGTCAATAGGATCTTCGAGTTCAGCATATTTTGATGATTGCCAAAATTTTCATCTTTATTGACGAGGTTGATGAGTCAGAGAAAAAAGATGCAGTTTGGAGTGATTTGATAACGAATTGAGGGTGTAAGGGAGCTTATTATCAAACTATGTTCTTTTGAAGCAAATTTTGGTTCTTTTTCTTTTTGCTTCAATTTCTTTTTTTGCGTGCCTCCTTTTCGAAATTTCAAATAATCTCTTGTTTGAGTTGAGGAATGACATCTTTCTAAATCAGAAGAAGTCTGAGAAGATGTAGACTTTGCCTTCTATTGAAAGGATGACGAGAGTCCAAAGCCTAGTAGGCCTCCTTAGTGTGTGCACACGATTCTTGTACTTTAGGATGTTCTCCTTTCTCAAAAATCTTTACATACTATGTGTCTTCCATTTTCTAATGAATGTATATGCTAAACTAAAAGATGCATGATATTTGTTTTCTGCCTAAATTTTATCATTTTTTTTTTACTAAAAGGAAATGATGCATGATTTTTGCTATATATTTATCTTTCTTTTTTTTTTGAAATAAACTATCCTATATGATGCTTTGTAGTTTGGGTATATAGAAGGGAGTTAAAATTTTATCATATTTTTTATTAATATTTATTTGTTTGTAATTCTTATCTATTTGAAATAAATAAACAAACAAATGCAACACACATATGCTCAAACAAATGTACACCCGCGAACAATCACGTTTAAATTCTTGGTCTGTGGTCCCTGCAAGAAAAGTGCATTGTATAGGATAGTTCTAATCTCACTGGTCTTAAGGCCCCCAAGGTGCCCCCATTATAGGGACAACCATGGTATGGTTACCTTAAACCTTAGCCACCCAAATTTGAATTTGAAATTCAAATTTGGGCGATAAGTGTTGGAGGGCCATGTTAAGTCAGACAAAGATGAAAGGAATTTTCAGCAAGGCTTTGAATCTGACAAATATAATACATGTTGTTATTTCTAACAAGTGTGTTAGTGTTTCAAAAGAACGTGAGTATAGGAAAGATGAAGGACAAACATATGCATCAAACGATACGAGAACAAGACAAAAGCACGTCAAGCACAATTTAAGGTGAAACATAAGGACTCAAACAGAAGATGGTCAACGACCAAGAAGAAATACTAGAAGAAATTGAAAGTTTGACCATACATAAGTTAACCAGACGAAAGGATAAGTCAATACGTTAATGACAAATGCTCAGACAAAGGTTGAAGTTTGAGCTACATATAAGACTACTAGACACAAACGAAAATGTCACACAACCACCTGAGGAATCAAGCCTCAAAGGAAAAATCAAGGCATTGTCTAGAAATGCATAAGATCAAGGACAAAGTTGAATAGGGGAAAATAGAAGAGAGGAACGAGAAAATCAAGCGTAGAAGTAAAAGCATGCTTGATGGCAAAGGAAGGAGGAGTGAGTGAAGTTGTTCTCCTTAGCTTCACCTAGTCACGGATCTTCTTCAAGGAGACTTGAACCGAATGAAATGGAGTCTTGGATGGAGGATTCTCGGATGAATGAAGGACTAAGCCAAGGATGGAAGCATCCAATCTTAAGGAGCAAAAGAAAGCTCACTTCAAAAGGTAGGAAAACCTAGCTAGGGTTCCTAGAAAGTGAAGTTTCTTTTCGGTGACTCTCAAGAGAAATTTGGCTAAAGAAGCTCTCAAATTTCATATATCTCAAAAGTGAGTACATTAAGGAGAAGCATCACCTAAATAGGCTCCCGGAAATGCACACTTTGGGCGCCTAATTCAAAGCCTACATGTGGCGCCCAAAATTTGAATTCAAAATTGAAATTTGAATTCAAATTTTGGCTCCCATGTGCTTGGCCGAAAATTTAGGTTCCAAGGTACATCTAGGTTTGATTTGAGAGTCATTTAGGGTTAATTTGAGTGGCACATGTTCAGCCACCCTTGGTGTTAAACATGTGACTCAAATGTAACTTAAATGACTTCCAAATTAAACCTAATTTTAGTCTAAATGGCCTATTTAAGTAATCCTTGTACAATCCTATTCTAATGACCTAAATACAATGGCCAATCAAATACAATGGAAAGGAAAAATTACAAGAATGAAAATGAGCACAATATTGGGTACCAAAAGCCCAAAAACCCATGAAGCCCAAAACTAGGCCCAATGAGCCTATGGCCTAAAATGCTATCCTAAATGGTCCAAAATACAAGACCAAAATATATGATAACTATACAAATAAAAACATAAGAAGAATGGTCATATCAAGATAGGCCCATGAGAAGCTTGACTTGGGCCTTCCAAGCCCATCGGGCCCATTAGGCCTTGACTAGCCCAAACCTCCATGCTTAGCCCACTTGATGGACTCCTTCCACCAAGGGGATGATCAAACGTTCAATGGTGAAGAGGAGCTCCTTTCCAAGGCCAAGATGGTGACCTTAGAGGGTGGAATTTCCTTCAAGGGTGAGGCTAAGTGATGGTGGGCGCATCTTGTTTTGTGCCTCCCGGACAAAATTGAGTGTCTACAATTCGTATGGAGATTAGGGATCTCAACCCCGTTGACGCCATAGATCAACTTAACAAAACCCTATGATGGCATCCTTGCTTGCATTGATGGAATGGTTGATCAATGTGAGGACACCTTGACTCCTTGGATCAAGTCCTTCAAGGGTGGCGTCTAGTTTAGAGAAGGAATATGGTGGAATGGGCGAAAGTGGAGAGTGTGGATGAAGTGTTTGATGAAAGACTTGAGGAGGGTACTCTAGGATTGGCTCACTTCATGGTGATGAAGGCCACTTCTAGGATTGTTTCTCTCAAGGTGGAGATGGTAGGGTGGTGGCCGAAATTAGCCAAGGGGACTAAGGAAAATATTAAGGCACAAAAGGCTCACTCAATATTATAATTTTCAAAGTGTGTACAAGGTGTTAGGCTATGGGTATTTATAGGAGTGAAAGTCATTTAGGGTTGCATTCGGAGAGTGCATGGCCGAAAATGCAATGCCAAATGCACACCAAATGAAACCCAAATTAACCCTAGATGCAACTTGGTGGCCAAGGATGAAATCTTTGGGTTTAGTTAGGCTACATCGGGGTGCATGATAAGATCATGCAATCTTTGCCCTCCACTTGGGCCTAAGCCTTCCTTAAGTAAAAAAATAGGTCCAATAATCACCAAAAATGTGTCTAGCTCTTTTCTCACCCTAATCAAATACCTTAGCCCAAAATAAAATCCTATGATCTAAAGCACCCCATAATACAAGGGTAAAAATGGGAAATACAAGTGAAAATAAATTCTAGGTCCTAAACACCCTAAAATACAAGGGTAAAATGGGAAATACAAGTAAAATAAATCATATGTCTAAGATACCCAAAATACAAGGGTGAAAATGGGAAAATTAAAGACAAGGATAAAATAGGAATAAAAATAAATGTTATGCTAATAAAAACTTAAGAGCTAAGACCCAAAAGTAGGCTCATTCCTCCTATGATTTTTAAATACTAATTCATTCTTCTTGCCTCTTTCAATATATCACCTATTGGTCTTCTTGGCCTTAGTGTTATTCCATCACCCTACGAGAGGGTTTGTTCGTCGATAGCTTGTGCAAAATATCCCCCCACAATATGACCGACTTATGAAGGAGAGCTCAAAAATATATGCAAATTGAGTAACTTGCTGAAAGTCACATCTTGGTGAGGATGAAGGTAAACCAACAACCTAGCGAGAAAAGGGAATCTCTCCAAAAAGGCAAGATTATAGAATCGTTTGACAACCATCCCCCTTGTGGCCCCAGATATATGAGTTATACCCTATTGAACACTAGTCGAGCAAGGGTGTCGGAGCAAACTCTTACTTCCGAAGTCTTGACTTTGCTGAGGAGGGCAAATACACCTTCTACAACCAAAATTATTGTATAGTAATCTACCCTTTTAGTTTTATCTTTATTGAATATGAGATAGAATGTCTCATTCATTTTTAATTCAATCAATGATTCTCCATTACTTTAGGAGATGTTTAATCACAAGTAGATCCAATATTATATATTAGTCAATTTTCACATGGCCACACTTATTTTACATCTCTTTCTATCTAAGGATTCAAGACACAACATATTATGTAGAAGACACAAATCTTGTTTACATTACTTACACTTCAACATGATTATGTTGTCATGTGATAATAAGTCCTCGTTGTAAAACTAATAATAAGATAATGTGTCATTGACCTAACAACAAGATGAAATTAGTTATGTAATTTGTTTTATATATTTAATGTATTTTAAAAATAGAACATGTTTACAAGAAAAAAAGCAGCATATTTTGATGCTACTAAAATCGATGGAATCCAAGATGAAATTAGTCATGTAATTTGTTCCATATATTTGATGTATTTTAAAAATAGAACATATTAGAAAGAGAAAAAAATTGGCATATTTTGATGCTACTAAAATCGGTGGAATCAAAGAGAACTTAATATAACAGTTCCATTCTGTTATGTTCATACATGAAAACGCTACTAAGAATCTTTCAAATCAAAATTGAATCAGACCAATAAAAATAAGAATTTGTATACATAAAAGTAAGCTTTAAGAGAAATGAAAAAAAAATCCTAAAATGATCTTTCGACCTATTGAAGAGGACAATCACTAATGTGAACTTCATTTTTTTCACCCCAAATGTAAATACAGAACTTAGCATCATCTATACTAACGATAGAAAGTGAAAACTCACAAGTACCATCAAAGACAATCTATTCAGGCTTAGCTGTGGGTAAATGCATGATCTTTAAGTGTGTGTTTGGTTTTCAACTAGAAACATACAAATCACATTCATCGGAAATATTAAAAAAGTTACTTCTTAATTTGGTGCTTTGAAAGCGCCGAGTGAGCAGAAAGAGAAGCTACTTGGCCTTCTTAACAAGATTCGAGGTTCGAAACATGGCATCATCTGTGATGAAACTCCACCAAATGTAGGTTAGAGGAATAGTTGTGGCATGCCAAAGTGCATGTGCATCCAAAAGTCCTTCATATGGAGGGAAATCATAGATTTCTAGGAGCATTGCAAGGCCACCAGCAAAAACAACCAGCCAGAGCTTCCAACGCGAAGGATGGTTACTTAAACCAGCCCAAACTGCCCAAATGGTAAGTTGTGCCACAGCCATCACTACACAAACTATCATATTCCATCCTACACAGTCAGATTGAGAGGGTCATTAAAATCAGCAAGGAGGAGAAAATTAAAGGTACGAATAAGAGAAACTACAAACACAGTGAAGAAAAATACAAGTCACAACTTGTCTCTCTCAAGTGCACATAAAATCCCTCACATTAGGATACTTGCAATAAAACCAGAACTTTAATATTTTTAAAAATCATAGCTTTTTAAATCAAACCCAATCTTTGAACCCCTCAAAAGCAAGTCTCCCCGCCCCTGCTTAATCCCAATAGTGGGTTGGAACTTGGAAGAAAAATGATAGTATCTTGTCAATAATCTTGTGATGGAAGCAGAACCCGCAAAGATGAATCACATACATAATTAACAGATAGCTCAAGGAAATCCTTTTATCAAGGAGAGAAATAAATAAGACAATGACATGACAGGACATACCATAATCTAGTTTATAGAAGTTGATGTACATTACGTGGGTGGTCACAAAAGCAATCAATGGAGCAGCAACCATAACTCTGGTAGCCTCATCCCTAATACTGAATGTTCGTAAGATGGCTAAAATGAGGGAGTACCCGAGGAGAATGACTGCAGATGAGTAGTCAAGTTTCTCTGTTAGATCAACATCTCTGCAGTAAAAAAACAATGAAAAATTTAAACTTTAGAAGAAAAGAAATAAAAAACTTGAGATGAAAGGAAAGTTTTCAATACCCAAATTGCTATATTCCACAATTAATGAGACGTGTTTCGTTTCTTTTTCAGTTTGAGTGTGATTTTAAAACATGAATGAGGTAATTTCTTGAAAACAATAGGTGCATCAACATAATTCGAAACAATATTAGCATTAGATTTAATTAAAACCAAAAATATTATGGACTACACAAAATGAAGTTCATAGAGGCTTTTACTTTCAAGGCAATAAAGCAACCCCAGATGTTAATGTCTTGGAAAGGGGCAGTATTAGAAAAATTCATATACTAAAAATTAACTTGAGAAACAGTTTTTGCATTAACAAGTCAAATGCATATATTGTGATTCAATTTGAGTCACATCTTTTGGCAGGTGATTCATACTTCAACATCAGAACTAAGTAGTATTGCAAACAAAAACCAATAAAAAACACGATTGAGACAACATTAAATCAGTCGCTCTTTAAGGTCAAATACCAAGGCATTCATTTTCTTAATAAGCAATCAGAGTACCATTGTTAATCGCAATGATATTTAGATTGAGTGCAAAATACTTAAAATATCTGCATAAGTAACTTACCGACTATGGAAAACAGCACTCCAGAACCAGGAGCTTAGTGATAAGAGCCCATACACATGCCACAAACCAGCATACTCATAATATGCTTTCTTTCCATCTTTTAGAGGCAATTTACAGCGTATGAGAATGAAAAAGGAGACCCAACCATGAAAATGCATTGCAAGATTAAGAGCAGAGAAAGCCACCGAAGCAGGTTCCTGATTATTAAGATACATGGCAGTTCATTATACATAGAATTTGAGGTCATTGGATGCCAACTCAAAATGAAAAATATAAGGGTATGGTTTCCTTGCTCACATACCTGCATCCCATATATACGCCTGAATGGCCATTTGCCATGATATTTGACAGGGGAAAGGTTATGTGACTCCCTTTCTTTCTCTCTATCAAGCATGCAATAATACCGGCAGTCACCTTGGCAATCCCATTTTTTCCATTGCAAATAGAGTGGTTCTTTTTGCATGTACCACGGGCGATCAATAGGTTCTCCATCAGAAGAAAACTTACAGTTTGGAAAGCATCTGTTTTGTCCAACACATCCAGTTTCCTGACATTGTCTTATACAATCCCTAATATCCAAAACAAAGCAAGAAATAAAAATAGACCTAACAAAATATTCCAATTAAATCATAAAGGGAACAGCAACTTAGAAATTTTGGATGCAATGAAAGACTTCCTATGTACTACAACAAGCAAAGCTTGAAAAAGAAGCAAGAGTTAATAACCAATTAGTGATGTAAATGTAAACCAGTAGGAAAGACATCACTCTCAATTTTAGTTCTTGATAGAAGAATTGATTCAAGAGGCTTGGTTTTGTTATTGTTGATGTTGTTATATCTGTAACTTGGTAACAATATTTAAGGGGCTGTTTTGCTTGAGAAAATTCTTTTATTTTAGGTTCATTTCAAAGGTTTGTATAAGATTTTGTTTTAACTGTTCCCAACACAAACTTTCAAAGATGGGAAACAAACAAATGGGCAATTTTGTAAAAAAAAGTTTAAGCAGAGAATGAAAACAGAAAACATGTTATTCGAACAACCACTATCATTTCCTTGTAAGACTCCAAACATTACCACTAGTATTTTATTATAAAAAAAATATCAAATAGATGTAGTGTTTTGGAAAGCTAGTTCATGGGAAAGATTGGAGCCAAGTACCTATAGCGCGGATCAGCATCACCGGCACTTGCATCAATTACCTCCACAGACCATGAAAGCACCAAAAGGAAAGCACAAATACAGCCATTTAACATCTGATTACATAACATTGCAAACACAAAGGTCACACATCTACATCAGCAAAATTATGCAAATTTAACCAATAATACATGTATGTACATCTTGCGAACATTCAATGGCATACCAAACCTAAAAGCCCAAATAATTTTCCTCTAGACACCGAGAAATAAATGGTAAATAGAAAAGAATAAATGAAAGAAGGGAAATAAAAAAGACCAAATATTTAAACACAATCTAAGATGTAGAGACAAGATCTTCAAATCAAGACCCACATCTCATAGGTGGTGAAAAGGGAACCTTCAACGTTTTGATAGACTGGAATTTCGAAAAAATAAAGTGTATAAAATTATAAATAGCTCAAGCAGAAAAAATGGAATCTACACAAAATTTGACAGGTCAACAACAAATTTCACATTCAACTTTCTATCCACCATAGGGGTAGCAAATGGAAAGATAGGATAAATTTGATTCAGATTTCAGTAGATGGATTAAAAATAATCCATATATAAATACACACACATTGAAATTTCATTAAAAAAATTCAATCTATCCACAATCAATTTAATAAAATTCATCTAATTCATCAATTAACAATTTTTTCATGAATGAATATTTAATCTATCCATAAAATCATGTTTAAATTTTTTTTAAAATTATGACTATTTCAAAAATAAGTTTTCTCAACTATCCACAAAAATATTTTTAATTTAGAAAGCGGTCGACCCTAAAAGTGGGATAGTGGAATTACAAATAGTTGGATGACTGTTATTCTAATGTTATATTTATATATATTAAATAATTAAAAATAATATATATAAGCTAAAAAATAAAATAAAAATAACTCTAAATTCATGCATTGATCATTTTAAATAATAAAAGTTCATAGTAGTCAAACAAAACATAAAATGTCTAGAAAACAGAGTGCTTAAAGCTTAAATCCTCTATAGCATAGCCAAAGCTATAAGTAACTAAAAGTAAACATTAAAATTCAATCTTCTTCCTCATCAAAATTAAAGTCTTCCACTCTTTCAAATTCATCACTCCCACTAGCATTCGAATTGTATTCTTCCTTGTGAGTGAACTGTAAAGAGAGCAGTTGCAAAACTGACTCGAAAATTTCACAAGACTATATATAGATCTTAACATAAAACCTAAAGAGGTTGGCTGTTTAACCCAAATGGTGCAAGCATGAAGAGGAATTATATTCAGCCCATGAAGTAACAAAAGCAGAGATAGAGCATGGAGAGTCAAATGTACCTTAGTGTAATTCTCTTTGTAGGACTAAGGTAGTGAAACCTTAGAGAGTGTATATTCTATATGTATCCTCTCTGTGAGAGTAAACTATACACTCGAACCAAACTTGTCTAGCCAATACATTGTAGAGCCTGAAGAGGCTAGGAAAAGAATACTTGTAAAGCCCGGAGGGGCTTGTCAAAGAATACTCACTGCTAGCCAGAAGTGTCTGATACGAAAATACTAGCATTGGTGAGTGAAGCTAACGGGCCAGGAGTGGTTGAGAATACTTGGAGAACCAGAAGTGGTTGAAGAATACTAGCATTGGTGAGTGAAGCTAACAGGCCAGGAGTGGTCGAGAATACTTAGGGCTAGGAGTGGTCGAGAATAATCAGGTTCAAGAGTGGACGATAATACTCAATGTTCTTCATTTTGATATCTAGTGGAACCCTTCAATTGAAGGAGACTGGACGTAACTCAGTTTAGCAACCAGTATAAAATGATTGCATTACTTTTCCTGCTTAACTAGGAACAAATCTTCCTTACTAAGTGAATATTTGTAAAATACTTCATCCAATATTTACATACAGTTAAAACCAGTTTTCAGACGAAGATGCAAGATTGTCTAATAGATATATTACACTGAAAAGCTTTATCTACTACTTGTCCATAAACGAAACTATCTTGAAAAGGAAATGTAAGAACTTCAATATTTATCATTATGAAACATTTTCCTTAGCAGACAATAAAACCTTCAGACGCATTGATCTTATGTTAAACAAATTATGCCTAACAGTCTGACGTTTAAAAGTGGATTGGATGAAGAACTTTACTCTTGTGAAAATGATTTGAAAATTCCTTCGTACACGGACACATATTCAACCCCCCCCCCAGGATTTGAGGCAAAAATGCTCACTCAAATTCATATAATCCAAAGTATTTACATGATGCATAGCCTAGGGTATTTATAGGAGTGGGAGGCATCTAGGGTTGCATTTGGAGAGTGCATGGACGAAATTCACAAGCCAAATGCACACCAAATGAAATGCAAATGAACCCTAGATGCAACTTGGTGGCCAAGGATGGAATCTTTGGGATTAGTTAGGCTACATCTAGGTGCATGATAAGACCATGCAACCTTTGCCCTCCACTTGGGCCTAAGCCTTTCTAACACCAAAAATAGGTCCAAGAGCCACAAAAAATATGTCTAGGTTTTGTTCCCACCCTAATCAAATACCTTAGCCCAAAAATAAAAACCTATGATCTAAAGCACCCCATAATACAAGGGTAAAATGGGAAATATAAAAGAAAATAAATCCTATGACTAAAATACCCCAAAATACAAGGGTAAAATTGGAAATACAAGTAAAATAGATCCTATGTCTAAGATACCCCAAAATACAAGGGTAAAAATGGAAAATCAAAGACAAGGGCAAAATAGGCATAAAGATAAATTCTAGGCTATCAAAGCTTAAGAGAGTGATTAGTGTATTTTAATCTTGAGAAATATGTCTTCTAGGTTTTTGACTTCCCTATCATCTTCCAATCTCCTAGCCATTGGCCTAGTGATGGGTCCCACATGAAGCTCCATAGATGGTCCTCCATCACCACTCCTCTTGGATCTTTTAGTGTGTCACCTCTTGCATTCCAAAGTATGATTCCATCAATGCTTGTGTCAGAAAAAGTACATCAAGTTCTCAATCAAGGACAACATTCTACTAGCTATGTGACTAGGAAAAGACAAAAAGGTTCCTAGGTCTCTGCTATATCTAGACACAACTGTTATCACAAGAAGCAACATTTAATGCAAGAATTTGAGCATTAAATGACAAGATCAAAAGGGTCGTGAACGACTATGTCTGCTTCATCGGACACTTGCAACGGGAAAATTTCACAAGACTATATATAGATCTTAACATAAAACCTAAAGAGGTTGGCTGTTTAACCCAAATGGTGCAAGCATGAAGAGGAATTATATTCAGCCCATGAAGTAACAAAAGCAGAGATAGAGCATGGAGAGTCAAATGTACCTTAGTGTAATTCTCTTTGTAGGACTAAGGTGGTATCCAGAGCTTAACGATCTCAATGGCTGATTCATCTCTCAAACTCTCTTCCTCTGCGCCAATCACTTTCGCGCACACGATTTCAACAAAACTAGATGAAATGAATTTTCTGATCTGGCGTCAACAAATCGAACCGATCATCAAGGCTCATCGTCTTCAACATTTTGTGGTGTGTCCAAAAATTCCCATTTGACTCTCCATGCTCTATCTCTGCTTTTGTTACTTCATGGGCTGAATATAATTCCTCTTCATGCTTGCACCATTTGGGTTAAACAGCCAACCTCTTTAGGTTTTATGTTAAGATCTATATATAGTCTTGTGAAATTTTCCCGTTGCAAGTGTCCGATGAAGCAGACATAGTCGTTCACGACCCTTTTGATCTTGTCATTTAATGCTCAAATTCTTGCATTAAATGTTGCTTCTTGTGATAACAGTTGTGTCTAGATATAGCAGAGACCTAGGAACCTTTTTGTCTTTTCCTAGTCACATAGCTAGTAGAATGTTGTCCTTGATTGAGAACTTGATGTACTTTTTCTGACACAAGCATTGATGGAATCATACTTTGGAATGCAAGAGGTGACACAAACCTTAAAATTTGAATTTTTAAGGCTAATACTTGAGTTCAATCCGAGATAGTTTGAAAATTTGACAAAAGTACCCTGTTAAAAAATTGAGACAGTTAAATTTGAGAAAAACAACTGAGACGATTTTTTTTAAGAAAAAAAATTCAAATAACCACGTAAGTAAGAAATCGGCAAAAAAAAA